CCCCAAAACCCCAAAACCCCAAAACCCCAAAACCCCAAAACCCCAAGAAATGTGTTGAGGGTTGAAAATTCGATGATAAATTCACCGAAATCAGCTTCTTGGTTATATACTAAAAATAACCTAAGCTTCTGTTTTGAAACTGTCATAAATTCTTTCCAATCAAGTTTCAATTTTTTAAAGACCTTAATTTTGCTTATTTTTTAGAGCAGTCATGGCTAATTTTTGCTTATTTTTACGGATTACAGTAAATTTAATAATAGAATTTTCATACTTTCAAAAAGACCCTCCTTCACAAGTCTGCCGGCTTATTTTTACAACCCGAAATTCGAGCATTAATCTGATTACAATCAGCACGGAACAATTTCTAATTTTATGATTAATATTTCTGCGATTTGGAGTGCTTTAGGACATCCTTTAAATTTTTGAAGGCTTAGAATAGTAGATAATACTATACCTAAAATTCTTAGTGTATTCTGGGCATTACTAATAACCATGAGAACTCTCTAAAGTAAATGAACATGAGTGGTGGTTGGAATTAATTTATGCATAGTTTAGCATAAATCTCTTCAAACCTCAAAATTTGCCGCTGAGAGGATATTTAAATTTGTACCACGTGTAAATCTGGAAGAGCAATTATTAACACTCTTCATAAAATTTCAAGACCCTAAATTAATGACAGTTTCGGATCCCATTCTTCCTATTATTCTCCTGATATTAATATAATTACGAGGAAAAGTACTTGATATTGTTCATGTTGGTCTTGCAAAGCTTAGCCTGAGAAAGCACATCTTTTAGAGTAAATTTTCCAATTGATTTATTCATAGTTTATATGTTATCAATTTTATTTTAATTATACAAAGAAATAGTAAGAATTCTGAACTTTATTCACTAAATTTTCTACCAAATTCAACTTGCAAAGCTCTAGATATAAAGAAGAACAATAAATCAAGGAAAGCTTAGTGTCTTGGTATGAAATAGAGGCTCGTAAGTTTGCTGGGAAATACAACATAAAGTCCTTTTTAAGTTAGAATGACGGCCATAAATTAGATTCGTACTTAGTATATGACTTTTATTGTTGTTTAAAATAGTGTTTGGCAAACTTATTTTTTATTTCTTTATCTATATAGCAAATAGAGTCATTTCATTTCAATTTTCATATCAACATAATACTAGGAGATAGTAATAGACAAACCAAAGAGGATTATAATATCCAATTGAGGTTTTAATACTTTCTCTATTTGTTCCGAAACATGAGACCAACCCTTCACCTATATTTTCAACCTAAGGTTTTATGATAATTTGAAAATTTGAAATTTCTTACTTTTCATAAATTCAGAATTCCTAATTATAATCCACTCCCTCCAAAAACTAATATGCTAATTTAAGGACACTGCTCTAAGCCTGGCTGCTTAATATTCTGGGTTATGCGAGTGTATTAAACAGCCATTTAGGAATTAGCAAGAGTGCGAGCCAAAATTATTATCTAACCAGTACAACATTTTCAAGAAATTATTAGGTAAATATTATTAATATTTGCAGAATTTGTTTGAAATCTCTAGTCAGCATCTCTGGTATAAGTCCCTTTTCGTATCTGGGCATGCTTTTATGAACTCATCAAGGCCGTTATTAATGAAATACAGAAATAATTCGGCAATGTTTTTATCTTGGTAAAGTCTCTCCAGCTTACTATGAGAGTACTTAGTGAGTATTTCCTGCATTAATACGATTGACTGGTTGGAGTAATCGAAGAGTATCTTTGTTTTCTGAGTGTTCTTGCTCATAGCCATCCAGCATACAAACTCATTGTAACCATTTGTCGACAAGTTATTGTTAGAGTTAATAATATTTAGTCTCATTGCTTCTTGGATCATGGGTCTCTTGAATGCAGCACCACTACTTTTAAGCCTTCAAGGTCTTATTCTTTTAGAATCAAATAAGCTAGCAATATATCTTTTGAACCCTCTGACGATTCTTTTATTGATAACGTCTTTTCTTCAGGATAGCTCGGCAGATCATGGCTTAGCATGAGAAGTATCCAGAATTGAGTTCACCATGCTTTGGTAATTGAAAACATTTTGGACTTCATCAATAGGTGAAGATATTTTAGAAAGTTTATTAGATAATTTCTTATTGTGTTTTAAGTCTTTATTATCATAAACCTCTGACTTTTCTGATTGATTTAATTCTCCTATATCCTTCAATCTTCTTTCTTGGCAAAAATATTGAGTAAATATTAAATCATCAAACTCATTAGGTTTAGAAGTGCACAGAGTATTATCATCAAACAAAGAAATTTCTTCATATGATGGACTTATTTCGTTGTCCTGTACTCCACCAAACTTTTGATTAGCTTCTTCTAAACAGCCTTGAGGATCGTTCTCTTCATCACACGCAGAGTAATTACTCTCGTGTAGTTTGTCATGAAAGGCAGGCTCTTGTGAGATAATCTCCCATAATTCTTTATCTAGTTGACACTCTAACTCCATATCTATTTCAATTATTGATTGATGATTTGGGGTTTTGGGGTTTTGGGGTTTTGGGGTTTTGGGG